ACTACACAGCGCAACAACCCAGAAGACAGAAATCTTCATACTCACCGCTGTGAAAACCTCAAATCATACATAAGAAAATGAATTTTATGCCATGTGACCTGAAGATGTTGACGTAATAGCCGCCATAGGCGCACTGAAAATTAGTTTCACATCACCATACTGCAATGTCCCAAAGCTAAGGAAATGTTGTCCTAATCTCATATTCATGGATTACCTGGCAGAAATACCGTGGTGTGTAGCCTTGAAATGTGGGCAGAGTGTGGTTAATGCCAACAATGGCATAATTACAGCCAATCAGAAACAGGAACACCATCTTCCATTGCCCACTGTCTTCGCTCAAAACTGCCATTCTCACTTTCGAAGGCACCTACAATAACAAAGTACAACAATTTTATTAATGTCCTTATAGACTATGAAGTTTTCCAGCGTGTATGAGTCATACCATGGAAGCGTAGTGTATATGGAATTAAGGTACAGAACATTCCAGAACTCAGAACTAAATGACTTGAATGCTTAATGTTTACCCTGACGAAAGGGACCGCTGGATAAGGCAATAAATGGGCAGAAAACCTGTCCGAATAAGACACTAAAGAGAGCAATTTCATTGTCCACATCATAATTTGAAATTACAGTTACATTTTCTTAAAACTGACTATGATAAAGTTAGAAAACCTTTAACATGCTCATCGTTAAGACAACTACGTCAGTTATTTGATATACTTTATTGCTTTCAAACAACAATAATCTTGAATCCTAGACATGCACAGTTTCATTTCTTCAGTGTTGATCGCTATCAGCCCATTTTCTAGGATTCTTTACAATTTTGCATGAGCAAATACCGAACACCTTATTAGCCCGTATTCGTCTAACTGTTGGTCGCATCTTTACTAAGAGGTAGGCATCTTGCATGACAAACATAAGCAATGGTAACCGTGGCCCTATTGCTGAACACACTTACGCAACAATGGGAAAGGGGTATTGTTGTAACACAGCTGCGTAGCGATACTGAACCACATGAGACAACAATAACCGAAACACAGTGCTGCACAACAAGTTCTGAGGCCATTGTTGGAAAACACATGTCACATGAGGGCATGCTAGCAGACATTGTTAGCCTTTTACCTGTTTCGCTGTCAAATTCTTATGAGACGTAATCAAATCGATAAACAAGTCAACACGACACTCGTTCATTTAAATTTACACTCTCTACCAAATCCGATTTACATTCACGACCTAATGCATAAAGACATACATTGATGTCCAGAGAAACTGACCACGAACCGAAAAAAGAAAATCCACTATTCACAATTCTGCTACAAGAAAACTACGAGCACAACTTATGACAACATGTAAAACAGGAATGATTAAGTAAAAGCATTTCACTACCAGACCTTTCAATCCGGAACGTGCGCAGACACCCAGAAACATAAAATGGTGTAGTAAGTTTTAGCTTCGACAAATATCTCCCGAGAATATTGCCTACGACAACAAACGTACCACAGTTTCCTAATGTAACTCATCAAATAACGCAGATCGTGTCGCTTTGAAAATCCGAGCTTACACCGCCAGTTTGAATAGTGATAACGCTGACAGTATGATTCATGCCAACTTCATATAACGTAAATACGCCGGAAACTATGTTGTCGCATGTACGATATGCAAAATACTAAGCGATAATCCCTGTGGTTCCCATTTGTCAGACGGCCTTTTCCAGGAAGTTTTGAAATTATCTTAAGTAAACAATATACATGTTAATCTAACCGTGACACTAATATGACGTAACACCGTCTAAAAAACTTACTTTTTATCCGACAACAATCGCGAAGATTATACCATAAAATATGTTGACGACAAAAGAATATAGCCCTATTGTTCCTACTATCTTTTATTAAATGACTTTTTCCTTGGGAAATCCTCGCTATAAAATTAAGAAATTTTTATTATAAATATTCACACTGATATATGATAAAAATATCCGGAACAAATTATTAATTAAAACATCGATTCGATTACAGATTGTTGATTGACTGCAGTGGTATTCAAGACTGCCAAGACATTAAAAAAATCAAACCAAAACTTAAAATCTAAACATCAAATGAAACTATTTCATGTAGTGGCGTTTTCTACGCTACAAATGTAAAGGTCACGCCTGTAATGCCGTGACTTGGTCGCTAAATTCTCGTTTGTTGAAAACATATGGCAAAGCATACAAATTATGAAAGATCTCAGTATCAAATTTTCTCCAGTCATATGTTCGAACAGGTCTATTCTTCTGAGCGGCCCGTTGACACCCAAAATGTTATAACTTCAGTGTCAGAGACGGAGTTTTCACATAACTTACCATACATTATGATGCGGTCTTTGCACGAAATAGTTCTTTATGAATCACCCAGCATCTCCCATGTTTCTAGATTCGACTGTTTCATGCGAAAAATTTGGAAGACCGTGGCATATAGTTAATCTGTATAGATCTATCATTAATTTTAATTTATATTACATTGAGACAAAATCCCGAATTCCGTCTGTTGAAGCGGAGAATCATATGCCTCAGAATATAACAACTTCCACAAGACTCGGTTACCTTATTTAAAATAATCATGAAAAACAGCGTTTATCTCCTAAGGCCTGACAAATACAGGCTGGAAACAGCTGTAACTCATTCAGTGTTAGGGGATTGTCATGTAAGACATAACTCACCTTGCACTGTGTCCCTGTGTCTTGGACGACAGCCCATCAGCACATTTCTTGCTTGGTCTTATCGGAATGCTAAGTTAATTTAAGATGTCCAACAGGTTTAAATGTTCACGCTTTCGTAATACAAACGGCAAATTACCAAGTCACTAGAATAATTAAATAATATCAGTTACAGGTCATACATTTTGCATTGACAGCTTTGGGGTGCAGGCAGAATGGGAGGTAGATTTCCACCCATTGAACAAACAAATCTCTAGCTAAGATGACTTTCAAACATTCCTTGTGGATCTGTCCTAAGCAAAGCCGAAACAGAGGAAGTTCGTGGGGGTTTCACAATTCTTTCTCTGCAGTTTGCCTGCTTTTCCCTTAGCTGGCTGCAATTTTAATACACATAAGGCACTATTTAATATTACTTATTACATTCCAATAACAAATTGAAAATGAGGTTAAACAATTAGTTACTTCGGATTGATATTGATGTATCACGACCTCCACTCCACAGCAGCGAGGACACCAAATCTCAGAACAGAGGAACGATTCAACCTTCATAGAAGACAAAACAACACACGAAAGTGTGGAAAAGTAAAACTCAAGCTAGATTTGATCCCGCGATCCTATTGTTTGGGCGGCTTAAGACAATGGGCGTCTAAGTATATTCTTAAGCCACCGTCAGTACCCTGATTAAGTGATGAGTGTGCCAGATTCAATAAATATTTGTACGTGAAATGGATAGACAAAACGGAAGTCACGTATTATTCTGAAATGACACATGAATATAAATCAAAGCTGCTGACTGATATGTTCCTAAGATAGAGCCAATGTGGATCAAATGCCTTGGAATCCTTACGCCGTGTTAAAACCGTGAACGCAATTCTGCATTTGCAACATATTTCCCATTCAGGTACATCACCCAGATTGTCATGACTGCAGATTTTTTTAGACTGTGCTTCACATTTGTAGGTGGCTCAAGAAATAACTCTGAATGTTGGAGAGCGCAAATATTTCCAGTTTTGAGTTCAGAAGGCTTTCTAGCGAGTTCGTAGTTCTTATTGGTCTTAATGTCTATTTATTTCAAATACAAATCAACTAGACGGCAAAGACATACAATCATCTGCCTCATATTTCATTAAATATAATCAGTACAATTGAAAATGTTTAACATAAGAATACAGATCTTGATATATAGGCGTATTTTACGCCGCGTAATAAATCTGCTTTCTGTGATGATCCCCTCCTGCTTAAATTCTTCTTTCAGAAAGTTCTGAAGTCCGACTTCAGTTTCTCCCAAAAACTTTCAACGCAGTACTTACGCACCAAATTTCACCAACATCAGTCCAGTGGAACGAGAAGTCAAAAATGCGAACGGACAGAGACAAAATTCGATTACACAGATGACACAGACGATGTGTGCTTGTTTGTGTGGGGAGGAATGCGTCCCAACATTTCCACGTGTAATCTATCGATAATTTAAACCAATTATCATTAATCAATTGTCGACATATCGATTGGTTATTATAACATTAAATTCTGAATACTTCGTCGCATGCAATCGCAGTTGCAGAACATGTCTTCTGTTTTAAAATTTAAAAATAAAATGAGTTAATGTTTTCAATTTAAAATGACTTTCTTTGTAGTTATTTTTATTTGAGTAAATTGTGTGAATTTCTAAATGTTATCTATTAAATTAAACTACTCGTACTTCCTACAAGGAAGTCGGAGGCGATTAGGGTCCGCGGACCACTAATTGTATGATTATGGGATTCCACTGTCCCACTTCGCTTATCCTCCCCACGTCACAGTTCCTCCATTGTGTCCTACAGCACTTTTTACAGTTATAACTTTTTTTCAATCCTTCTGGGCACCTGTTTTAAGACAAGCATCGAAGTGGACGAAGCAGTACGATACCAGACGGTGGTCAGACAAGTAATTCTAGATCTCGTGCACAAAAGCAAACAACAAGCGACAATCTTTCATACTGTTTACAAGTGTTATAAAGGTGTTCTTTTTTTAAATAACTGGTAGGGAGACGATCGTACCAGCGCGGTTTTCAATTGTTTTCTATTATAGAATTTTCACACGTAACATTTTCATCGATAGCGTTAATTTAATTGGAATTGTCGTAAGTTTAAATATACATCCAATGCACAGAGAACAAATCTAACAGCATCTGAGGAACCTAATTCCGACAAAAAACAACATGGATCAGCATTAACTCAGGTACGGCTATGTTTCGGAAAAGAGAAAAACAGAAGAAAGCACTGAATAATTTAGTCATATCTGACTGTCCGCTTATAAAAGTTCCAGGGTTATGACAGTAGACCTACTAAATTTTGTCACGTTTGGTTCATTTTAAAGTAAGTCTAAATAAACGAACTAAAACGTACATATTTGTAACCAGTTGACGTATATTACGTATCTTGCTTGGTATACTTCGTTTCTATTTTCATCTCTTATCACCGACTTTAATTTAAGGCAGGGATTTACAAACGTTTACAGACCTTGGGCCACATTAATCCCTGCTTTACGACTTGGGGTTAATGAAACGTTATGGCAGTTCAATACAAATTCTATTGACTTTGGCCTATTGATGCACATAGGTTCACAAATTACTCAACAATTTTATTTAACAAAATCGAACAATAGTAAAATATCTAACACTGCTAATGTTCGAGTAATATTTTAATATGATTAATTTATGTCGTTGCGATACGCACGTAACCCACTAATAAAAATCGATTAATTCTTGATGACGTCATTCACGTTAAATAATGTAATCGCAGCGACCAACAAATGTTTTTTCTGTTACCAGGGAACTACTTATCAGCGCACAGCTTGCCAAGGGGTTTGCAAACATGCACGCAGGTCGCACAAAATGCATCTGCCGACCATGTGCGAGCGCGTTTTCCTTCAGTAAGAACTGAATTCTTAAATAGTATTTATATGAACTTCGGATTTTGAAAAAAAGACCTACAAAATACGACTCCATGGATTGAAGTCCGTCTTGGAAAGCTATCAGTTGCTCAGCGAAGGTCCATTACAGTGTTTAGAAAAGCTCGCCCCCTAGAAATCAGTCCGCACACTAATATCCTACTTATTTAAGGCTAATTTTAATAATATCTTCCCATCTACGTCGTTCTGCAACCTGCATGGTGTGATACTTCGGAATCTAAAACTGTACCACATGAAGTACTCGTGGTTGGATGGGCGGATGGAAATTGCAATCAAAGCGACTGTGATCAAAATCTGCACGGAAAAATCGGGCCTCAAATTGTTTTCTATTGGCGAAACGTCTGTATTCCAGCAGGACATGCAATTTTCGTTTACTTAATTACGTCTGAAACAGGGGTACACATAAAGTCAGTTTGATTGAAACGGTATCTATTATTTCATCTGTGATATATTTAACTACACTGTAAGTAACTCAGACGATAGAAAGGATATGGAAGGAAGTGGTCGTAGCCCAACTTAAGGTACTATTTGGCTGTAGGAAGAGGAAACCCATGAAAATAACTCAGAAATTTCCGGTCTCGGGGCCGGGCCGAGACCTCCCGAATACGGCATCTACTAACCGACATATATTTGTGGCTCTGTGGCCAACTAAAATGCAGTTGGAACTAGGTTAGGATAGCACAAATCAAGGATGACCAATACACAAAATGTAGACATCGTGGTCGAGTGGTTACACTCCTGTTTCGTATTCGGGAGGTTCTGGGTTCATATCTCGGCTCGGAGACCGGCTGGGGATTTTCGTAGTTCTCCTCAGCCCCTCCAGGCAAATGTCAGAACAGTACCTTAAATTAGGCCACGACCTCTTCCTTCCACATTCTTTCTAATTCATGATTCACTGTCCTCTATGAAAAAGCGTCGTTAAATAAACAAGATAAGAATGTTTGTACGCGAGTGCCGCTAGCCAAGGGGAACCGTTGTGTCGACTTAGGTGTACAGCGAGCAAATAAAGACGAGAAATTCCTATTTCAGAATGTAATAAGGGACACAACGGTGTTCTGTGGTCAGATAAACTTCCTAGTCATGTTTCTGTGCGCAGTATGTAAGTCACGCGGGTAAAATTTTCCTCGCAGGTGATAATTTGTAGTTATTGGGTATGACGAGTTAAGTTTGAACGGGCCAGCAGTTCACACTTGCCGTTATTTCTGTGGCCTCTCTGCTCCATTCCCTGCACTTCATTGGTAACAAAAGCCTTTTGACAGCCGCTTCGGAGGTGAGGTACCATATGGCACATGCACGAACATCCACTTGGCAAGTTCCGACGAAGAGATGAACTGAACTTGGCTCAATCACTGCAAGGGACTAAATAAATGCCTGCGGGAACAGTGTTATGGAGAATATTTAGACCTAAAAGACGAGAATTTACACGAGGCTGGAAGAAACATTCTTCTACAAATATTATTACAGCGATAAAGTCAAGGATTAGATGGGTCGCGCGTGCAGCAAATACGGGCAGAATTTTAATATAAAATCCATTCTGAATTGAGGATTTGACGTAGATGGGAGGATAACAAAACAGTTCTTAAAGAAATACTAAACTTTAGCAATACATTTTATGAAGCTTACACAGAACGGGCACTCGCGGAGGAATCGGGAAAGTATGTGACCGGTAGAGTGAAGGAAGAGAGGCAGGTAGACCAAAGAGAAAACGGAAAGACGAAAACCAGGAAAATTTGACCTCTAGATGAAGATCAGCTTTGTTTAACGCGCCCAGTGGAATGGAATTCCTTTCGCGAAGGCCTCGGGTTCTTGCGGTGGCGAGTAGTTTACCGATGTTTCAGAGGTGCTTGCTGCCTCCATCTTCAGATCAACATCGCCCTGACAGTAAAGAACCTCTGAAACATCAGTAAAGTTCTACCAACCCAGAATAAAATTCATCTATTTTATAAGCTGAACTTGGAATGAGAAATTCTCTTTATGAATCACAGGGCTGCGACAGAGGTTTGAATTTAAACGCAGATAACGGAGTCGCAACATGTCCTAATGAAGAATTATGTTTTATTTTCAGGATGGTCCTTGCGGTTTAGCTGAGACTCGTCTTTTCTGCATTCTCCTTCCTGTTATAACGAGGCCATGGGCCCAATTCTGAGAAAAATTGTGTTCACTATCGCACTGACAGCAATTTTCTTGCTGGTAAGCTGAATACGTTCTTACAATGCAAATCCCGTTACGATCAGATGTCAGGAAATGAAGAGGTACTTGAGAGACGTCTGTATAGTTGCTTACGTAATTGTAATGATACATGGCTCACAAAACATTGAACCTGTCTATAATGAGCAACAAACTAGATTCGGAAGCCTGCAACATTCACCGTGCTAAAGTATTACCTTGTGAACCATTATGTGACCTACATACCGACATAATGGCACCCACTTCACGTATTCTTACAGCGTCATTAATTTAACAGACGTCTCCCCATCACCGCGTCTGACGTGGAACCAGAAGATCCATAAGTAGTTTGTGCTATTCCGTTCGGTTTAACGCTAACACAATCCTACATCCTCTTTACTAAACAGCTAATAACAACTCTAGCAGTCAAGAAATTCCCTGTTTTGTGGAACTCACACATTCGTTACCGTGCGAATTATCCACAAGCCATAGAAAGAAGTCCTATAGTTCAACCCAGTTCATGTAATTACATTGTTTCTCCTCTAAAACCTATTTTAAGGCTGTGAGCTGCGAAGTGTAGAACTTACTGTCAAAATAAGTTCTTTTGCAAAAGAACAATTAACTGTTCTATAATTTCAAAAGCGAAAGCTGCACTTGTAATGTACACGGGCACTAAAAGCTGGAAAGTAATTAAAATCTTTGTTTTTTCCCCCCCAAAAGGGTGCGAGTGAAGCTCGGAGAAGAAAGAACAACAAACAGAAGCAGATACAATCGCGCGAAACCAACGTCATCAAGTTCGTCCAACTGCTGGTACTTCGATTAGTGTACGGCATTGCCACTTCAATGGGATTTGGTGAGAACATCTCAGAGTTCTTCGGTGGAATATTTGTGCCTCCGGGAGTCGAAGATGACGACGACTTAGACTTTGATTACTGAACACGAATAAAAGAGAACGCGGTTTTAAACGAACTTTTATAAACTGCACCACAACACACGAAGACTGTGGAAAACATTGCACAGAGACAAAATTACGTAGAAAAAAATAAATAAATACTTTTCTTACAAGTTTTTGTACCTGTACTTTATTTTATACTATAAAACAGTCTACAGTTAAGTTAAAAAACAACAGAATGAACAGGATTACACACACGTTTTAGCAGTCATTTAATGACAAATAATTAAAATCTACTAGCAAATTAGTTAATGCCTACTAAATACAATCACATAGAGGAATCAATTTATTTTTAATGGATGGGCACAAGCAGTTATGGCAAAAAGTTACAATAATCAAAGTTTCACTACATATTCTCAAAAGCCCCTTAAAATCCCATTGGTCATCACTGGAAAACATTGCTAATGCAAAATTTGAATAAAAAATTGCAAGGTCTACCGATGTGCGTAAAGAAACGTAAACCAAAGGAGAATGTATTTAAACATTATACAGGTATCACGAAATAAAAAGGTGGAAAATTTTAAGTACTTAGGAAATAAAATAATGACGAATAGAACAGTTAAAGAAGAAACTACAGAAATAAAAAAAAAACAGTAAAATGTTACCAATTAGTTATGGATGTTCAGAATTTAATTAATCCTTTAAAGCCAAGTGATAACTATATATATTAGTTTTATATAAGCAGTTTGGAAGGTAAATTAACAAATAACAGAATACGATGGCATGGAAGGAAAAATGTGGAAAGAACCAGAGGAGGAGTCAAAGGAATTGACAAGAAATAGATAACGATGGATGAAAATATTTTATGGACATCAGGTACTCAGAGTAACAACATGAATTATAATCAAGCTTATGGAGAAATAATGTGTATGTAAACAAAACTACAAAGCATAGTGGTAAGTAAAGCTGTCGTGGTATACGCCATGTAGGCGCTTGGGGGGGAGTAGAGGCATAGCTCCTACCCATTCTTAGCCTCAGCTATAGACTGGGGAGAGCGTCATGCCCCGGCCATGCCCACGCTATAATCTATATTCCACTAACCAGGGCTGTGGAGTCGGAGTTGGAGTCGGTAAAAATGTACCGACTCCGACCTCAAAATAAAATCTGAAGAACACTTTCGCTACCATGTGGGCTGCTGGTGGCCTCACGCTTAGGGAGATTCAACGACGCGTTGAGCCACATGGTGTGGGATGCCTTGTATCTTAAGAATACAACTAGTCTACAAATCAACAGATTTCTGCAATAACCATTAGACGTATAATTAAATACTGGGATACTGGGACGACCCGTTCTTCAAGTGCCTGAGCACTGCGGGTCCCAACTTTTCATTGGCTCTGATCTAGACAATTGGTAGAACTCCTTGGATGAGGGATCAGCCGGTCACAAGGCCTCTACCTGTACACAGGACAACATCCATGGCTTGAGTGGGATTCGAACCCACGGTCCCAGCGACCAAGCGGCACAAGGCCCACGCCTCAGACCGCGCGGCCACTGCAGGCCTCGTATATTTAAATATAGGTTATAAGTCCAAAAAGTAGCCTGATGATTAACGTGGTGGTGATGAAATATTTTGTGGTACCATTTACCATTTTAGTAGGTTTACCATTATTAATACATATTGAGCTTTCATGAAGGAGTCGGAGTCGGAGTTTTTAGTACTGACTCCACAGCCCTGCCACAAACATACAAATCTGACTTGACATGACCACCAAAAATATAACACAAAACAATGGTAAATGTGGTACTTAAAATACAAATTTATAAAACTCTGATCAGTGACGGTTTCTATTATTTTAGAAAAGAAAGGTCTGGAAAGAATGTGATGCCTACATTCTTTCAGTCACAATGTGCACGAGAATCAGTACCACTTGATGTAAGATTACTGTAACAACCTCTCATCTTACGCACCAAGTCTCCCCAGAGAATATGTGCGTCGCATTCTGGACAACGTCCTTCTACTGCTATAATAAAGCTGCCCTTGCGGAACACTTTCGCAAGGCAAATGACGTGTGCTGCTAGTAAACATCCTGGAGAAATGCATGTAATTTTCTCAGACTGGCAAACTACTTCATAACAAAAATAGCAAAGACACTTATCATCATCTTGAACAGATGTCTGCGAAGTGGTGCCTTGCGACTGACCAATTTTCTTACTTATAACAGGACCATATGCTATGGGCATGTGACGTGGTGGGGAGAGGTCACTCTGTAAAAAAATCATCTCTTTCAAATACAAAGACCATATAAATAGCACTTAAAGATAAAATTCCTACCTGAATAACAATCTCACAAAAATCATGATATTAGGGTACCTTTTGAGAATTAAACAAAATAGAAAAATGCATTCTATTACAAAATGCTATATTATGGAACATCGGAGCAAAATGTACATACAGTTACAAGTGCACTTTAAAAGTTTAAGGGTGAAACAAGTACTACCTGCCATTTGAGTGATATATTTTAAGCGTTGTCATAACTTTTAATAACACTCATACTACTATCAAGTGTAACAATAACAAGTGTTTTTCTGTCTACGTAACTTTTATTCCTTAGCGGTGACTTATTCCACCACTACGTTTCAGTCGGCTATAACTATCTACGAGTGGTGCATAAAAAGGACATACTGAACTGCGTGTGATATTTGCTATGATTAAAATATATAAAATAATAAAAATAAAAGTAAAATAGTAACTACCATCCAGCCCCCAATTTACATGTATAAATGAGATAAAATATTAAAATAGTGAATATTACCAACACCTTGTAGGATGTAGTTTCCATATTAATAATTCACAATTAAATCAGTAGTGACTGGTATTGATAATAATGATGTTTAAATCTTTCAAGTCTTCAGCGGCTCCAATGAAATTATGTATCGATGGTTAAGGTCCATACGAAGCTCAGGGCTTCAACAAAATAAACATCAATGTTGGCTGGTATAAACTCAGTAACGAATCTCATGAATTTCTTCACTAGATAAGCAATTATTAATTTCTCAAGGATTCTGCCCCCTGGTGTTAACTCGTGTATCAACATAAAACATAACATCATTTTAAGTGAAGAGCTGATGTATCTAGTATTAGAACACATACCACAATGTCACTTCTAGAGACATTCTTAAGACAGTCCTACAATGAAAACTGCCCTAGCACACAAGTATTACATTTGCAAAGTAAAAGTTTAATTCTGGTAGAGAAACTTTACTTGCATCACAAATTATAGTCATGTTTGCATTGCTATCTCCCTCACTGAAGTTGTAAGTTTCAATTTAAGCTGTAGAAAGAAAAATAAGGTGAAGTAAATATGAAGAATGAACTTACAGGAAATTCTCGAGCAAATTCTTGTTTCAGCCAGCGAATGGTCAAAGCTAGCCGGTTCCAAGGTCCCACTCGTAACATCTCTGACAAGACACGCAAGTGGAAATCGTACATTTTTTCATGATGCTTCTTCTTTGTAACATGTCTTAAACGACGTGAACGATCAGGATGTTGCCAAGCCCATTCAAACTGGATATAAATATTATAAGAAGGTTAAACAAATTAATTTCATACTAAAACCTCTCAAATAAGGACATGAAAGTTCATCTATCAATGCACCAGTTATGACATACATAAAGTATAAATCTTATGCAGCTAATTCCTAGGACACTCCTTCAACAATTGCTATTCTACTATTTTGAGAAATTTCATCCTGATATGGAGCCCTAAGATACATTACCATCACTTCAAAATCAAATCAAGAAATTCCCACCACTACTATAATATCCTATCCTTAGCCAGTTCAATCTAGTTCACATCCTCACAATTTATTTCCATTCTGTGTACTTTAATAATACTTTCTCAACTATTCCTTGGGATCCCAGAAGGTATACATTAGGTTTCCCAACCAACATATTTCATTCACATATTTTTTCCTCCATGTACATTTTATGTCTGGTTCACCCAAATCTCAATGATATAAGACTCTATCCTGGGCTAGCTGCATACAATGAAACTACAGGCAATGAAAAATTATAAAGTACATTTTCATTTTTTTTACACCACCTTGAATTACATAACCTCTGTGATTCCCAACACTGCAACAAAACTGGATTCTGTTTATATGGTTTCTGGATAAGTATTGAAAACCAAAGTACAAAAACAAAGAACGCCTTAGTAAGTGCCTGGTGCTAGACAAATATGGTATATTTTGGTTAGGTTAAGTGCAAAGAAGCATAAAATAAAGGCGGGTGAGTGACAAAACTTTAAATACGGTTTTTTCCCCTTTATGAATAAACGTAAGTTCACAGACAAATTCTAATGTACGAAACGTTATAAATATTTCAAACTGTGCTTACCCCTAAGGCTGATATATCATTCGGGAAGCCATAAACAAGTAAGACCATTTCCCTTGAGGAAAGAAACGAACAACATTAGCAGAAAAAGTTCATGAAATACATAAGGCAAAAGCCCCTTTGTGTAATAAGTATATTATACAAGAATTCCGTTTTTAACATGAAACACAAACTAACCAAGGCCCTCGATTATTTGTTCGCCTAGCTCCTCCAGAATGTGTGCCTCTATTATGTTGTTTAATTCTTCTGTTCGGATCTACTGTATATCCGATATACGTTCTTCCTTCATATTCCGGATTTGTGCAATACAGTAAATATACACCATACAATCCTTCAACAACATATTTATCTTCATTCATAATAGGCTCTCCACTCACAAAAAATTATTTCTTATACATTAATCTGTGACACAGACACTGCTTCACAGGTAATGTTTCATACGCTGTAGCTAACAGTGTTACCGACTGATCATCTAAATGCTTTTAGAATAGTTTACTTTCAGATGCGGATAGATGACAGCACCTAGTACGCGCGATGTATTTGACTGTATGCGCTGCCTATAGCTTGTATGTAGAAAAGATGCCATTTTGATATTTTCGAAGTTTCAATCTTGTATCCGGATAATAGGATATGCGAAGAGGTATTTAGGTGAATGCCAATGATTTGTGGCATCGCCATTAAGGTGTAGTCCTCTAGTGGCCAAGCTCTGAATTATATCGCAGCCATAAGCCGTAAGGTGCTCCCCTCTTATGTTTAACACGTAACTAAGTTACAACACTAAGTACCTCCTTCAATGAAGTTTGACCCAACCCCACACTACAGCTATGAGTACTGCCGTTTAGAATGACGTTGTCGCATGTGAATATGTCGGACTTGAATACGCGTAATTGAGTTAGCCTGCTTGCATAATATATCAGTGTTAAGATTTATATTTTAATTTTTTTATTCCTTTATGTTTGTTTGAAATTAGTTGGTTTATTTATCTTTTATTTTTGCTTATTGTTATTTATTTTTCTTCATTATTCTTAGTCGCTGTGAAAGCTTCAGATCATACATTCATAAGGGTAGATTAATTCCTACTTCATTTTTGGGGGGTTTGAGGTTATCAACTTTAACATCTTCTGGTTGGTATTTAGTTATTGTTATGTGCGTTGTTGGCTTCTTAGCCTTTATTGATTAGAGTTATGAACAGTTATAATTCTCTGAGTTTTCTATGTTTGCGGGGAGGGGGGGTAATTTATTTTTCGATAATTTATTCTATTTTTGTATAGTTCTGCTTTCTTGATTAGGATGCCTTACCATCACATAAATTGCAGATTTCAACCCATTATTGGCTTCCTTCATGTGACTACTTCTGCAGACTGCTGGCACTTATCATAGGTTTTACTCAGTGACTATGTTAGCTGCTGCTGGTCCTAATGGTGCTTCTTGCATTGACTTAAAGTTTCACACAGATGCTCTTTTTCAGTATGTGTATATAATGAAAGAAAGCAATCAGCATCATATTAGTTTTTCTGTTCATTAGGCATGCTTTCTGAATTGAAGGGTTGTGTGAGTATTGCTTGGAATTTGAACATTAAGTTCTACACACAGTGAACATTATTTACAAGTAAAATAAATAACATGAAAGTTGGAGATAAATATCCAAACTACTAACAACAGAAATGTTGCTTCTAAAAGCAATGCTCCACAATAAACCACTGGGTACATTCTACGAAGCACTGGTTTATGCTGAAAAAAGAAATATACAGAAGAAAACTTTTGTTCCCATTTTTAGAAAATGGTTATATTTTACTCCCTTCAGAACACTCGTCTATTACAATGTATTTCACAGAATATTCTCACTTCAAAAGGATCTCTATCACAACATTACAAGATATATGCTCTCTGTATATATGGTCTATATTTACGTTTCATGGTTCAACAAAACATTCTTGACATTTACAAAACATACTTTTTGTTTGTATCAACAATGTCTCATACACATAACACTGATGCATATTTTATGGTTAATATTGATATTAATGATAATTCATTAATTTTTTAGGCTAACATTTTAAAACATTTAATATTACATGTTTACAAACTACCTTGAAAGCAACATCTTGTAACTTTAAAATGTTCATATATAAACAACTGTTTAAATTTTATTTTTTTATAAGGTTATGAATTTTTGTTATTATAACTTGACGTTTACATTATGCAGATTTCCATGTGTACACTTGTCTCTATACATCTTCCATATCTTCTAATATTACAGCAATAGCATAATAAGCATCAAGGAAAATCCATTCAAATGCAATATACATTTGCTAATCACTCCAACAAATATTCTGTAAAATCAATTCGAAAACTAGATAGGGGGACCAGCCCATGTTTTACTTGCAGTTTATAGTATTTAAAAATGGTAAAATCTACTTCTAATACAATAGGTCATTATTTCAAAAAATAAACATGTAATTCTGAAGTAATGGGTCAGAGAAAGCAATGTTTATAATAAAGAAATTATTTTTGAAGAAATTTTTTTCTTGCTATTTTAAGGACTTTACAGAAATTATTGATTGGCACAAAAGGAGACAATTGTCAGTTCAGTGCCTCCTAATTCTATAGATTCCCATTCTGTCTCAAGGATACTTTTAATTTTCACCAGAAACTGGTTAATGCCAAAGAACAGAATTAAAATAAAATAGTTGAAGCATTACCGTGCACTACAAAAACTATAACAATATCTTACGAAAATTAAGTTATTTTATTTAAAATAACAAATATCCTTAAGATATATTTGTTGTGTACTATATAAAACAATACTATCAGATACCCATTAACTCTGTTTTAAATCAATCTTTTTCTTTATTTAAACATAAGAAAGTCATCAGTTGTAAAACACATGTTAAAGCATCATCATGAATCACCAAGCAGTTGACACAACTACATCTATAGGCAGTCCATACATTATTACCAAAGATTTAAGTATGTTACAATACAGGAAATATAAATTAACAATAAACTAAAAGATTAAATTACTGTAGAAAGAAGTTTTAGTCAGTGTATTGGAGGTATACATAACGCACATTGTTTTGCCCAGGAAGACAAACATATTAATTTTTAAAAATAGCTTTAATGTACTGAATGAACTACTTTTAATTGAATCAGATCGTTCTTTTTTAAAAAAAATTAAAGGGAATACATTAATTAGTACACTACAATGAAAGATCTAAGTTTAAATATGGAGGTGCTGCATAAATGTGAAATTTCAAAACTTTTTACAGAAATTAATTTTTCATTCTTTGAAGTTTAGAGAGTAATAACTCTCACTCAAACATACACAGTCAGTTTTTTTTCCCACACAAAGTTCTATTCCAAAAATGTTTTCTCTATTCTATGTGTTCTTGGTTTTATGAGCACGTGAAGGTGTTCTCAATTTCCTGTTATTTATTTTTGATAACACCAAAAATGAAGTGGATAATATGGGGAGGCTACTGCCCTCCAAGATAACAGTACAAGATTATGACAAGACTGTATGAAGTTAATGATAAGAACGTTAATTTGAACAGACAATTTTGTCATTATTTATCCATTTTATTTGTAGGATAGACACTGATGAGACAATACAAATTAGTTTCAAGTTTTACAAGTAGATGTCCTATGGGAGAAGGAACTTGGTTATGTTTACTTATGAAAAAAGCTCATGTTTAATGAATAGGTCTCATTCAACTTTGACAGGGACACAGTTACATGTCCGTTATTACAATTTGCCAAAAATTCGAACCTGTATTCAGTTCAAACAAAAACACTTTTGAGTGCAACTGTACCATAAATGAGGATGACGGAAAGTGGCGACATATTCAATTAACAAACATTATACGCCATAAACATACTTAAGAACCCACAATTCCAGCAGTGAAATAATAATGTTGGCTTAGTTCAGAAGTCAGATAAAAATTACGCTTGCCAGATATTACTAAAATCCTCTCAGAAAATCAGCCATGTCTACCTATACCAATGTAATTACTCCATACATGTACGCACTTATTTACCATAACTTAACATAAAAAATGCTGTCTGCCTCATGTTAACTGCAACTGACTTGCAGAGAGAGACATTATTATTGGCAGTTCGTGGCATCTAACAGTTTAAATGAAACGTCGCAATGAATCATTCACATAGTGGTAAATAAAAACATCTGGTAAATTACACTTCACTCTAATAACTTCATACATCCTGATCCTGACATTCAGACACATAACCGTCATACCAATTACAAATTTACTGTTTGTTGTCTGTCGACAAATAAAGGAAGAGAAGCGGGAGAATACTGATATTAAAGAAAGAATCAAAGATCTTTTTTCATTTGTTGGCCTTGTCACTCATCAAGGAAAAATAGATGAGTGGGTTTTGTTGAGCCATGCATATTTCTTTCTTTTTTATTTTAGTGATAAAGAAAGCTTTATCAGTTCTTTAGTGTAATATGCAACTTCACATAATCAGGGCTATTAATGTAACTACAAATTTAAAAAATGTCATCAATACACATCTTATTTTACAATAACTTGAGGCTGTATGTTTATCATTATATTACATTTTGTTTAGTTTTGTCTTCGAAAGCTATGTTTATTTGTTACAACAAATAGCTGCTAATATTTAAACAATAATCATGGAATACTGTTAAATTTTACATTTCTCAACAATTGTTTCATAGTATGTATTTAGCAGTTCTTCTTCTTCTTCTTCTTGTAGCGTTATAACCCTATGTGGGTCTTAGCTTGTTCGACAAGTTTTTTTTCCATTCTGTCCTATCATTCACAATTCTTCTCCATCCCCTTACTCCCATTATCCTCACATCCTCCTCCACGTTGTCTATCCATCGTTTCCGTGGTCTCCCTCTCATCCTTCTTCCCATCGGTCTACCATATTTTTATCCTTGGTATTTATCAGTTACTGTATCCAAATAACATAATAAATCTAAAAGAATGTTCCAGCAACATTATCTGTGCCAAAAGTGTGATGACTCTCAGTCAGTCAGATACAACACAACCTTTTACAAACATTTTTTTTAACATGACATTGTTTAATCTACATATTCTAATTTCACATTCAAAGTAAGCTCTTCGTCAATCACGGAGCCTCACTCTACCAATATTCATTACCATTCAAAATAAACAACTCTAGTCCAAGAGGTAACAAATCCAGTTGAGTGCACAACTCGATAAAATTTATTTTTGGTATGTATTCAAAACAAAACCACTTAATAAATTTATGGTCTTCACATTTATATTACTACCTGCACAATGAAACAACTTCTACACCCAGCTTATTTATCACTACGAAGATGGACACGGTAAACTTTTCTGAAATATCAGTCAATATCTATCAGACTACATGGTGCATCTTCATCCTAACCACTGTGGCAACCTTAACCTTAAATCTCATACAGTTGTAGTAATTCTGTAACATATTTTTAAATCAATGACCTTGAAACTTAGAGCCTTGCCCATTAGAAAGTTAAACTGCGTACAGTGTCTATTTTATCACATTTCTATAGCAGGATATGTATCTACATGGGAAACAATAAAGTGACAAAGTATTTTTTCATACAAGAGGGACTAATAAAATTGAAATCAATAGCTCAAGAGTGAAGGATTTATAAAGACTGATAAGTTTTAAGAAAATTCTTGTACCTCAGAATATTAAACACGTATCAAATTTCTCTCTCAAAATGTACGGGATTTACTAACTACATGAGAAATTAACCCTATTGCTGCGATATTTGAATGATGAAGAACAAGCTTCCATTAACCACATAGTATAACTTTCATTCACAAAGTTGTAAAAACGTTTTTGTTAGTCTACATGGTGCTGCCACCTAGTTTGAAGAATTTAAAATAGTATGAAAATGTTGAATAACGTTTGACAAAAAATGCAAATGTTACATATTTTTTACCTTCAAACTGTATTATTTCAAAAAAGTCATGAGAAAATAATTCGCAGCAAAGGGGAAAATGTGATTTCAGTAATGAAGAAACATACATGTAACTACAATTAAAAATAGTTCACATCTGACACAAAAAATATAAGGCGTCTGTTTTGAAGGTTATAACAAAACCTTGTCTACAATAATTGAATTATTATAATTATTGCTGAAGTTAGGTAGCCTGCAATAATGTATACAGATGCACTGTCTCTTTACACCTTGTCATCATATACAACTATGACCATTTAAATTACACAAAACAATATTTTACAGAACAATCACGCATCTATATTTTTCATTGGATCAACAACAGAGTTAAAACTCTTTGTTCTACATTATTTCTTCCATTTATAAATGTGCAAAAGTTTTAAGTAGTACGTTTTATGAAATTATATGATAAAGTTAAAATATTCAGTAACACAATTTAATAATACTAATTACTTTTATCACCTCCAATATTGCTATGATCATATTCTTGATGATAATATCGTTAAAATGTATTTTATTTACGTACCACATACGATTTCATTCTTCAACGGAATAAATAAAATTCACCCAAATAATCTACAGATAAAATAATAATTTTTCCTTATAATAATCACATGACAATGAATGTTTGCTATCTGTATATCATATAAACCCGGAAGAATACAGTGCACCTAAATTTAAGATAAATCTATGCATAAAATATTAGTTGACTAAAAATGAAGTGCTTATTATCGTATAATATACATGACAGTCGAGCATTGGTTGCACTCCGAAGAATTATGTGCAATTTAAATTTTTTACATAATTATATCGTTAAATTTCCACAGACCATTTACAGGGACAAAAGCATATGAACAATCCTGTTTTTAAGCGTGTGTCAGTCACGTGATCCAAGGGTTAAAGCCAATGAGAGAGCGAATGGAAGGATGCATAAGATGTCACATAAAGATAATGCATTCTTCTGTGTTTATATCCGCCGTCTCATCGCAGTTAACGGATAGGAGACGGCAAAACACTTTGTATGCATATATCACACAATAATTATTAATTAGTATTAATAGACTTTAATCTGTTGTTTGTTCAAAAGTTTGGTATTGATATAATATAGAAAGTCAGACAATAAACAATCGACAAACTGTATACAGACCTGGACCATGTACTTGATATTTCTCGTCATAAAATATGTTTTCCTTTGAAAATTTAGAATCATGGTAAGTTCATATAAAATTGTAGCGCTAAGTGAACAATTCCATTAATCATTCAGAAACTAAAAATAACTTCTTCGTTCAGGAAAAGGGTATTTAAATCCCTGAATAAAGGGTTGCTGGCTGGACTTGACTACTGGGTTTAACGTCGTGCTACCACAACACATGGCCAGCTGGACTGTGTGCAAGCAACGATGCGTCGTTAATAAATGTTAACGTCAAACATGCTGAGCACTGCGTCAGTTTTTAAAATGGCATCTAACTTGCATTCACCTTATTTATAAAACATCGCATCCAATCAGCTATCAATTAGCTGGCGAGAAGACATATATAGCGAGGGAATTTCTACTTCATTATGTAAACATTTACAACAAATAATATGTTTGTATGAAACAAACATTAATGTCCAGTTATACATAATGCAAAACATCAAAGCATTTATATTAATCATTATGGTACAAGGGTTTCTCTTCTTATACAAGTCTTATAATGAAAATAATTTTTCACATCCATAATTGCCTTTAAAAAATAACAAAATAGCACTAATTTCTTTCTTTATGGAAATTTCTTCAGTTTGAAAATCAAGAGAAAACACAAACTGATCTGAAGATTGAAATTATGACTGAAGTAATTATACATAAAATGTCAACTAATATTACGACAATTACAAATTATGAAAGTTACTTGCTGCGTACTGAACAACGAAGTCCTGATAAATCCTTCATCAACAAAACACGTTAACAAATTCAACAACATTATTGTCTATCTATCAACAATTATTCCATTATTCATTTTAACATTAATCATATATACATAATAACTCATAATATGTATGCTATACCTTTGCTTTGCCATTGATTTTTATGTTGATAAAGTCATATGTTTTCTTATTAAAATTATAAATCGGTAATGTATTTTTAGTGCATAAGTGATAGATCAGTCTGTAATTGCATGTATAAAAACAGCATCTTAAATATAATTAACAAATTCTGTAAGATTTTAAATAATATAAAATGTTTTTAAGTGACAAGGATTTATTTCAATGTCATAGGTAAATTTATGCATTGAAATAGAAGAGGGAGACGTATTTTCTCGTTATTATTAGTTCCATACTCTTTAAAATGGCTGTTTTGTTATATAATACATAATGATACCTTGCAAGTAATGCTAAATAATAAACACAGATGCTGTGGGTTTGCTTCTTAAATTTCCTTTACGTGTGCAGTCCGTTTTCTTCTTCTCACACGCTGCTACCAGCTTTTATTGGGGTCAGAGTAACCTCTTCTCCAGTTACACTCATTTTAAGACGATCTCATTTTCCCATCAGCTTTAGTGTTCAATTCTGTCTCTGATTACCTGCTGTAATTGCTTCCAGTCAGAAGATGACTAATTCTTTGACGTAAGGATTGTTACAAATTCTAAAAATAAAAAGAGGATCTAATGAATCTAACACAAATATGCGACAAACGGAGCATGGTAAGAAATTTCATAAAATGTCAGCGGTACAGAAGGGAGTCCCTTACATCAGAATAATTTTAGAATATTTATGTATGGGAGATCCCTGGTAAAAATATTATTGGCCCAGAGATTGACTATCCTGACTCAGGTTTTCCGTATTTCTCCTCAGTCCCCAAGCAAATGCTGGAACGGTAACTTAATTTACTTCATGACCGTGGTCTCCTATTTCCTTTCCATTTCATTAATCATCCCGTCATTTAACATAAAATAGACTGAGATCCTTTCAGCATCACTAAATAAACCAAAAATGAACTTTCTTTCCGACTCACAAAATACAAGTATTCCCTTCTCCATGTATCAAAGAAACAAGAGTAAAATTTAGTATAGTTATTACATAAAAATAATTTGTATAACACGCATTTGTTAAATAAATGTTGTGGCACCGAGTGTTCCTGCAACGTACCTTCGTAGTTGACCATGCCATCGCCATCCAGGTCTGCCTCCCGGATCATATCATCCACTTCCTCATCTGACAGCTTCTCACCCAAATTGGTCATCACATGGCGAAGCTCCGTAGATGAGATCAGTCCATCATTGTTCTTATCAAATACCCTATAATTAAAATTATCAGTTAATTATTACTTTTACCAAACACAGTTGGCCATGGACTGTAATTTATGTCCAACATTCTTTAATGAAATATGACTCAAGCTTTCATCGTGTCCACAAGTCCTCTTGGATAATCAACCGTGTCTAATTGCCTGACAGGATTTTATCATTTCTTTAACAAAATACGGCACAATTAATACTATTAGATATTTAGGCTTTTGTGGTTGCTGAGTGCTGATGTGAATCCTTTCCCTGGGTCATCGGCCTGTGTAGAAGAAAGCTGTATCACTAATGTTTTGGAGAAGCTGTCATTATCTTTATGGCAACTACCTTCTATTACTTACAGCACAGATCCACAAGCAAGAGGGACGCATTAATTAGGGTAACTCACCATTTTCAAGTCACTGCAAATTAATCTGATTGTGTTACTCTGTGGGGTCCGCAGTGGCCTCGCGGTCTGAGGCGTGGGCCTTGTGCCGCTTGGTCGCTGGGACCGTGGGTTCGAATCCCACTCAAGCCATGGATGTTGTCCTCTCAGGCACTTGAAGAACGGGTCGTTCCCAGTATCCCAGTGCTACTCTGTTAATTATTTCATCATTCACAGCTGTCATGGACGTGCCTAGACACATAAGATTCGTGCAGCGTGTTTCTTTGCAAGGCCACATGGTCTTCCGGCCAAGTTTGTCTGACTCACTTTGCGGCTGCACTGTCTAGAAAACTCGCAATGTAGAATGTACATAATGCGATATCCTTACCTGAATGCTTCCCGCAGTTCATCTTCACCATCTGCACCCTTCATCTTCTTAGACATCATCTGCAAGAACTCATTGAACTCAATGGTTCCATTACCATCTTGGTCAACTTCATTTACCATGTCTCTGAGTTCAGTTTCTGTGCAGATAACGAGAGAAGAGTAAACACAGAAGTTAGCGGATAAAATTATTAACCATAACAATAATAAAATTGTTTGACATGGAAATAAAACTAACCAACTAACTAACTAACTAAGTACAGGCATACATCGTTTTATTGCGCTTCGCAGATATTGCTTTTTTTTCCCAAATCGAAGGTTTGTGGCAACCCTGCGTCGAGCAAGTCTATCGGCGTCATTTTTTCCAACATGTGCTCACTTCGTGTCTCTGTGTCACATTTTGGTAATTCTCGCAATATTTTTTAGACATATTGCTATTGCACACTTAATAGACTACAGTATAGCGTAAACATAACTTTTACATGCACTTGGAAACCAGAAAATTCGTGTGACTCGCTTTATTGCGGTGGTCTGGAACCGAACCCTCAATATCTCCGAGGTATGCCTGTACTTTAATGTTTTATTCTACTTTTGTTGTACTTCATTCAGTACATATATTATTTTATTAGAACCATCTAACACAACTAATTAAACGTTTACAGTCTTCCATCCTACATGAATTATTACAAGTGTTTACATCTTGCTATATACTAAAAGTATTACACTTTACATTACTACAAAACTGTTTAAAAAATATGCATCTTTCCATTTTGAATACATATTTTGTCTCTTGTGTAGGTTCAATCATGTAGGATGGAATAGGAAAGGTATGTAGCACGCATTTGCAATATGATAAAAATATACCTACTCAATTATAGTCAGAGGATCTGAAGGAAAGAGAACACTTGGAAGATTTAAGTTTACATGGGAGGATAATATTAAAATTAATCTTGGAGGAAAAGAATATGCAGTGTGGACTGGATTCATCTGGCCGAGGGCAGGGATCATTAAAAGGTTATTGTGAATATGACAATAAGGTTGTGAAGTGTTCATATTTTTTTCTGAAATAATCATTGTGAATGTTCGGACTGTGTCATCGTTTGTGGTCCCAGAACCAAGTTTTTGTTGACTGACCCGTTCAAGAAAGCACGTAGTTGCATGGAATATAAAGGAAGAATTACGCACCTGTGGGTCTCTGTCCCAGTGACCTCATGACGACACCAAGTTCTGCCATGGTGATCGTGCCATCTTCATCTTTGTCAAAAAGCATAAATGCTTCTTTGAATTCTATAACACATATGTGCCACATATTACACTGGTATCTTCATTACCAAGGATATTGTACGTGATGTGTGTGGTATTTTGAAGAAACTGTGAAAATATTATTTTAAAATGTGCCCCATAAAATATACGTATTTATGGTCAACGTAGCAGTGCAATAGGAATGTAAATAAATGTAGATGATGAAATTACATATATTCTGTTCACTAAAACATTAAAATAAATTGCCTGCTGAGTCTCTCAAGTTAAAATATTAGACAATGTTTCATGCATTCTACCTGAGCTGACTACTCTCTAATTTTTTAAAAAGGGACTTACAAATCAAATGCGGAATCGTTGCTTATAAAAAAAATCATACTGACTTGACTGTTCTATTATACCAACAGTATGAATATATCAAATTAAATAGCACCTCACGTAGATAAATTAATATTACACGACATACAATTTACAGGGTTAAATAAATAAATATGTCAAAATTCCAGTGATCCGTGCTTGTTCCTGGAAGTAGTCTGTTAGACTAATTAAAGGCCGTTAGGCGAACATCAGTGGTAAAGCTGAGCTCAGCTAATTTTAATCGCGTTTGAAACGCGCAAAGGAGAAAATCAAAAATAACACTTACCTGCTACTTGGTCTTCTGTTAATCCATATTCGGACTGCATGCAAATAAAAACACAATATTAGAGGCTGTACTGCTAACAGTTTCGCGACTGATACTATGGATACAAGTAATAAGTACAACATTCATAGACGACTTACTTGAAACGAAGTTCAATTTGCGTGAATGTTCACGATGAGACTGTGTAATATAACACAGTGGTATTCAACCTTTTTTGTTCGCGTACCCCCAGATATAATTTCTCTTCAACTTTGTACCCAAAAAAATTGTTGGTGTATAATTCAAGTTATACATAGCATATAATCTACATATAAAATAAATTAAATAAATTATATTACTGATTATACAGTTTTTATCATAAAATAATTTTTCTTTAAATTTCACGTGCCCCTAAGATGTCTTCGCGTACCCCCGGGGGTTGAATACCACTGATATAACATACAGGCATACGCTAACCTCGATTTATGTCGAACATGAAAACATCTGCCATGAAAATCATTAACCAGGTGACAAGGACAATTCTTCGGAAACTCTTGTTTGTAATAATTACGTGCGCAAGTACACACAAGATAACATATAAGCATACATACAGCTATGCTTAACCCTTTGTTTACCAGCCAGCCGGTCCGTCGGCCAATCCGTTGTTACCTGCCAAATCTGATGTATCAATTACATTAAAGGCTCCTAGATGGCAAAACAAGGCTGCATCAGATACGTGGTTTACACTTTAGTGCGTGTTTTCCTCAACAGATCGATCCTGTAGGCCAACAAGAAATATTTTTTTTTGAAGGAACACATACATTTTACGGCCAAGGACGTTTTCTCGGTGAAAACAAAAGTATCAGCAGAAAGGTTAGTAACCTCAGCGGTCCCGTATACAAGAACGTGTTGAAAAACAACTCTCTGGTGGACGAACACAGGATGTTGTTACTAAATCAGTGGATTAATGTAAACGTTACTAAACATCTACGGCTTTAAACATTATGGAATCTCTCGCTGCCACTTACACTTGGCATCTAATGAATCTCTCAGAAGAAATGGGCAACAGATGAAGCAGATGGACACAGTTATTACAGGGATAGAATGGATGAATGTAGGTCACCATATTTATGATCAATGTGTAACACTTAAAAATTAAAGTTACAGAAAATCTGTTCGTTTTTCTGCAAACACGTACGTTACTCCCACGCTACACAACTTCGACAGTCTGTCTCAGTTAGAAACACAAAAAACAACATAAATATATCTCTTCAGAATTTTGTTTACAGCCGTTCAACTGGCATTCAATTATTAATTCGAAGTTGGCTAAGCTGTATAACTCTTCCTGTTAAACGTAGTACTGGTAGGAAAGGGTATTAACGTGGTTCTAAAACCGTGACTGAGATGAGACTGCTTAGGCAGAAAGACAAGAGATGGAGAAGAAGCCAGAACAAAATTTTTCGCCGAATCGTAAAATTCTTTAAGCAAACATTACAGAGCTTACGGAGAATTATTGAGATTCGTGTTAAGTTACAGTGGGCCGCAGCGTGAGTATTCATCATTATTATTATTATTATTTAGTGTTCTGTCTGACGACAGGTCCATATGAACAGGATCCTTCCATCCTTTTCTCGGACTGAGACCTGTTCATATACGTTCTTGGCAGATGATCCAGAAGTGGGTTGCCATTGCCTTCTTCTGTGTGTGAATGGAGTAATTGTGGGGATGCCACGGAGAAACCGGGGAAGCCCCCGGAGAAAAACTCCGTGTTGCCTAGACCACGGCCTTGCCCAACACAAGTTATAAATTCGGGCACCGCCGGGAATCGAACCCGAGACCCCAGGATTACAAGGCCAGCGTTCTAACCGCTAGACCACCGTGCTCTATTTTTTTTTCGCAGTTACGTATATTCTGCGGTAAATTAAACAATAAACAATTTATTATAAAACCAAACAAGACGATGGTTTTAGTCCTGTATACCTTATTCTCAATTAATAAGTTTACTTTACATTACAGTCTTAGGCTATGTTACTGGTATGACAGACATAAATTATTCTTCGGTGTAAAGAATAAACAGTGCGGTAGGAACTGGAATTTTAAACATTACTTAGGCGAAATTTTTATCCTTATCGAAAAAGACGAGCATTTGCTTCTAATCTTCTAATATCCTTCCTAATTTTCTCTCTCTTTCGGCTGTAGAGGGTTTTGCAATAATCGGCTCTCTGGCTACCATTGAACAACCGCCATCTAGCAAACATAATCCACATAATTGTGTCAGTGTTATGACATGAATAGAGGATCCAGCACAAGCAACATACATTAGCCACGAAACCATTGTGTTCAACTCATTGGCTAAATCAACTAATTTAATGCAGCGTAAAGCGAGGAAGCACATTATCTTCTCTCTCTGTTCCCAGTGTCAACTCGTGTGACAAACCACTGAACCGAATCACTGATACTCGCATGACAATTTTAGTGGTTTTAGGCAGCTCACCTGTCTTACGTGAAACAGACAGGTCTAAGCTTATTATTGCTTGGAACATCTAAACTGTTCACGGAAAGTCTTGGTGGTGGGTTTGTGAGAAAGTCTGTACAACGTTACGGGTTACAACCCCTTACTCTGATTCTGCCACGCTTAGTAAAAGACTAAATTACTAATTCTGTGTTGGATAATCCGCATAATTTGAACTTCTCACCTAATGTTTTTAAAGGAAGATGAAATTGGTGGGGAAAGTAAGACGAATATGAAAAATGAGAAATAAACACTAAATCTGATCAAGAAACGTGAAGGGAAAATACAACTTTCGACACCTAGACGTAAATGTGAGGATAATATTAAAACAGATCTTAAAGATATAAGGTGGAAAGATATGGAGTGTATTCATGTGGTTCAAGATAGGATCCATTCTTTCAAAGACGGTAATAAACTTTCAGATTTCGTAAAAAACTGAGAATTTCCTTTACCAGTTAGGCATTAACTATCGACTTTTCAAGGAAAACCCTATGGAGTTATTAACGCTGCATCATGCTTTTACCAATCAAGGCACGTCGTCATGATCTCGTTAACATATTTGTATAGCCCATAGAACAGTGTAACAGATTAACATTTTTGAGACGAATAAAAATGGAAAGACCCAAAGAGAGCAGTACGTAACAAATACAATAAAATATAAACAAATGAAGGCGCAAAATCAATTTCACACACACATAAAAAAAACAATATCACGAGCCGATAAGATTACAAAACAAGGCTTAGGGGCAATATTCTACATCAAGCAACACCGGTTTCTTTTCTATGTCGTTAATTAGTTAGTTCTATATTATTTGTTACCTTCAATCTCTGCACAACAATTAAAGAATTTGTATTTTACATAACTTGCTATCTGTCCAAGAAACACACATTTCCATACGTTATTAAGCCTTGCATAAGATTATTCACAATAATTAAATTAACAGACTGTGACTTACTATAAAACTCATTTAGAAAGGGGATATGTACTTTTCTGCTTTCCTCTAATTAATAAATTCATAAAGAAATCTTTTACACAGACTTGACATTATAAGATAACATGCCCAATCTTTACCCGTTCTGTAATAAGCATGTAATTATTCAGGCATCACTGATTAGGATGCGATAATTCTACAGAAAATAAAGAAAATTTCATACATTAAAGGACCAAATGGTTTCGTAATGACTAGGAAGTTGGTATGTGAATTTCACATACATGAACAGCAATGAAAATTAATTTATTTTGCGTGTGTCCGCGTACGTGCGTGTTCACAACAATTACTAATTAAGTATGACGGATTTGCTAATTTTCTTTGATCATGAAATTAATTTACTCACAGAATGTTGACGCACTTCATAAGCATCCGTCAAACTCCGTAGCCGATGATACTCGCGGCCATATTTATCATCACGCCTTTTTGTTTCCGCCATTTTGCAATACGTCTATTCATACTCGAGTGTCTGTCGCTAAACTATTTTTAATAAAGAGTCACTTCACTTCTAGCAGCAGTTATTTTAAGACTTCAAAAATATGACACACAAAGAAAATATCAATCGTAGTCATGATTCAAAGTATAATTCAGTTCTAATTACAAATCATTAATCTTTTTAAAAATCACATCACGCTGTTTAAATTACACAAGCACAAATATTTCGTATTTCATAACACAAATAGGGTCTATCTTAAACATTTAAATTAGAGATACAATCAAATTGAATATTTTCATGACGACTGACAGAATTTTACGTAGGGTACGCACTGTTACAAAAGATTCTACCACTTAAAACTCACATATATGTAAAGCCTCCGACACAAACGTTAGGATTCTTGGCAAATTCACAAACAGAACAATCTTGTAAGAACACAACCTCGCTTCAAACACAGAAACAAAAAAAGACAAGCGAGAGAATCCCGAATGAGTAATTAAATCAGGAATATCTTGAAGAGTTACATATCAAGTTAAAACATAATCTTGATCAATGTTTAATCGCTATTTGGCGTTACACACTTCTGGCAAGACAAAAAATTGACGTGTTCAATTCTACTGCGGTATAAACACGAAATTAAAATGACAGTACCTATTTTAAACCGAGCACGTATATGTACCGGCAACATTTTGTACTTTTGTTCTGGAGGTACATGGTTCGAATCACGTCTTGGATTCAGGTTTTCTCGTCTGAGATATTCCAGGCATCCTGACTCTTTTCAAGCAAATGACGAGATCGTATCTTGAAGTCCTCCTTTACTGTTGTGTGACTGCAGATCTAGAAACGGGACTATCGTCTACACACCTAATTCCACTTCACGTTAAAAATATTAGTTTTTTCAGTATTTATCCACGTAAGTAGAAGAATTTCTAAACGTGTAATATGATCTACCGTCATATCTCATTCCAGTAGACTGGGCTCACTTCGGACTATTTAGATTTCTTCTCAAAACATCGCAACTGTTTGAGACACAACCGATACGGCCTTGCTAATTAAATCACAAATTAATAACGGATACCATGTCGATCAGAAAATAAATTACGGTTCATGGTATAATATAATTCTGACGAAACGTTAAGTCGCTATTTGCAAGCCATGGTGGTCGCCTTCAGTCACTGCACTGATCCGTGTTGACGTGTGCACATTACGTATTTGTAAATACCGTATATCCACTACTTTCTAAAAGCGACGTTTCATGGTTTATGTTATATGAACTAGCCTGGGTCATTGTGCGTTTTGACTCTGACAGGGACATGCGCAAAACACCTCCTGTCCCCAGGTACAGAAGGAAAGAGGTGCCAAAAACATCTTTGTAAACTTCACTTGGATGCAAAGATGTATGGTCAATCGGAGCATTAGCTAACCATTCATTCAAAAACATTCCGAGATTTACATTATGTTTTCTGTACATTTAAAAACCAAACATCTTACTGAAAGCGTTACACAAGAAACAAGAAAAGGAAGTGGTTAATGAAGAACTGGCTAGAATTTGGAAGCTGACAAAGACATTTGCCTGGGAAACAAACTGGACTGAGCCTGTAGCCTGTCAAAATAACTGGGCATGGGATCTGATACCGGGACTTTTGAAAGAGATTCTTATCCATGACAACACCGCAGTCTCCAGCATTCGAAGCTGAATTAATCTGGGGTCTTTGTTTCCACACTTTTTGTTCTTAAAAGAATTCCCTGAGGTGTATGAATATTACGTTGGATGCAAAAGTAACGATGAATTTTAGATAAACCGACGAGAAGACAGACTTGGATTCTTTTTTTAATGACGAAGTTTCTACAGGAAATATCGGAGTTTTAAGGTTTTTGACGAAAGTGTATAAAATGCGTAAAATTGTTCTTTTGGACTTTGTCCATCGTCTAAATATAAAATCACAAAATTACGGTTGCAAATCTGTCAGACAGTGGCTAGCTCAATCAGGGGGGCCAAAGGATATGTTTCCTGTCCCCTTCCTCTTCCTTATACTTGACGACAAAAGCAAAACCCATCTATCCAAACGTGATTTTACGATATTTATAATTTAAACAATTAACAATTTTGTACAGGAAATACGGAGTTTCAATCCACACGCTTCCTTCAACGACCTGCGCATATATATATAGTGCCCACAAAAATGCTGCAATATTTATCTACTCCTGGAACACGTTAAGGTGGATATGCATACATACAAGACACATTCAACAGCACCTACAATGCCGCTACATGAGACTGCCAAAGATCGTTACTGCTAAACAATTGTTGTACAATAACATAGCAGTTTACAATACAAAAACCACTTCCTCCGACGTTACCCGAAGGCTATAATAATAACCGCGTTCAGTATGGGCTCGCAACAAAAAAAAGTAGAACAAAAGAAAGAAACATGGCAGGGGTGTTAATGTTTTGAGAACTAATTTTAGTCGTATTGTGCTTCTTTGATCGCCACCCAAGAAGATACAAACACTGGTTTCATCATAAATCTTGAAAAATCTGAGTCTGAACAAACAAGTTGTAAAACAAATGGAATTTTGGCTGACAGGGTGTGGTTTGGCAATTAGTTT